TTTGGCGGGGTGGGGGGGGGGGGCTGTTCTTCTGTTCCAAAGCAGTGAGTAGAAATAAACGTCAGTACCATTGTACACAGTCACTTAAAAGTTCTTCCCAAATTCCTTTCCTGTCGTCTAAGCACAGGCGGGGGCTGATACTTGCGAATGGGGTCTGGCCAGGTGCCTGTCCCTTACGTGCACTGTAATGTATTATTTTGAAGTAATCTTGATATTGCTTAAAGGAAGCTGGCTAGGTTTGTTACCCCTTAGTTTAAAGTTGATGACTTAGATGGAAAGTAGGTGTGTATGAAGGGGGGAAAAAAAAAGGAACCATTTAATTTTTATGGTGTGTTTCTGTACCTGCAAACTTTCTCCTAACCCTATATTGTCTGTACCCTGATTAGAGGATCCCGCTGTAGAGACAGCTGAGGAAGCTAAGGAACCAGCAGAGGCAGACATCAATGAACTCTGTAAAGACATGTTCAACAAAATGGCCACTTATTTAACAGGCGAACTGACAGGTAAGGCACTGCAGTACTGACCCGCAAGTCAGTTTTTGTTTCTTTTCATTTTCTTGTAAAGAAATTGGTTGTGTAGTTTGTCAAAACTATACTTATTTAGATCGTATGTAGCAAGACCGGCAGTTTGTCTGGCATGTTGCTAGATTACTAACAACACCAACATTAGTCTTATTAATGAAGTCCCAGAATAGCACAAATATTTTTTAAAAGAATTCGGTATGATATCAGCAACTTCAAAAAAATTCTTTTTGGTCTTGCAGAAGCTTGTACATGGAAAAACAAACAAAAGGGGTCTAGATCAAGAAGGACTAGAAAAGAAGCACAGCTGAGAGTGGAATGCGCAGCTATTTTGTTTCTGAGTGAGAGCAAGGATCATACACGTTTTTCAACATTCATGCTTTAGAATAAACTGCTGTGCAACATTAACTGAAGCAAAGTAAACTTCTCAAGAAGTTAGTGGATTCCACAGGTTCTAATTTTGAAAGCATTCCACAACACTACTGATTTGCATACACTTGAAGGGTATACAGTACAGATTACCAGTTTGGATTTGTGCTCTCATTTTTGTAAACATGTGTTTAACTGACAGAAGAGTAGAAATGTAGGGAATTAGTTGATTTTTCTCTGAAAAAAAAGAAATTGCCAGTGAGTAAGTATTCATCAGTCTAGTTGACTTTTACAATTCACAAAATGTCATCTCTGTTTTTGTAGAGCATTATACTAGTGCCTCTGTTACCATCTAAACTATTGTTTGTTGCATGTGGCTACTGGTTTGAAATCTCTTGTAGTTTTGAAGAGCCTGCACCCAATTCAAACCACATCAACTTTGAAGTAAAATAAACTCTATTCTTTTTAAGCCACCAGTGAAGACTACAAACTCTTGGAAAACATGAATAAGCTGACTAGCTTGAAGTACCTAGAAATGAAAGATATTGCTGTAAACATCAGTAGAAATCTGAAGGATTTAAATCAAAAATGTAAGTAAACCAAATAAAGTGGGAGTATAATGAATGGTACGTTTCTTTGGGAAATGAAGTATCGAAGAGTCAGATAGCTAACACTTCATTAGGTGCTGAAGGAAAGAAAACTCACTGAAATAGACATGCTTCTATGCCATGCCAATCTTGTGTGTTTCTTTACAGCTATGGACTATGTAGACTAGCATAAGAGAAAACATATATGAATTTATGTCCTGATTTACCCCAAATTCTGGATCTGATAGGAAATAACGCTTCTTTTGATGCGCATTGTACTGTAACTTGTGTTAAGTGTAGCCAGTACACTTAAATATTTCATACTTTCCTGAACATGGCTGTTGGTATCACCACTTGATTTTGGGGCAGGGGAAGGAAGGAGATCTGAAGTTGTTCTATCTGAAGAATGTCATGAGAAATTCTTGTGTTTGAAGTGTGAACTGTTTCTTGGAAGTGAATTACTGAGAACTGACAGATAGGATTTTTCTGCTTTTTTTAAGATGCTGCTCTTCAGCCGTATCTGGAACAAATCAACCTAATTGAGGAGCAGGTTGCATCTCTGGAGCAGGCAGCTTATAAATTGGATGCCTATTCCAAAAAACTTGGTAACTGTTGTCCTCTACTGTTACTACCTAGCAGCATAGTCCCTTGCAAAGGGATTGCAAAACACAAAGTAAGTTCCTCCTCCATTTAACAAATCTAAGCTGCGGAGTTGCCTAGGCTGCTTTTGAGCGACAATCATTGTATGTGAAGTGGTAAGCATTGGGAAAAGATTAATGTAACAAGTTATGTGGAGGTGGACTAGTACAGGTATTATTGAACTACAGCTTATTAGTGAGGCTTGATTTCTCTTTTACAATATGCAGTAACCCAAATTTTAAAGACAGATCTTGAATCCTGCAGATAGAGGGATTCATAAAGTTCCATAAGGCACCCAAGTCCCCTTGGCTTAAATTAATATTAGTTATCTGACTTAAGCACCTGGTTCTTAAAATTTATTTTACAGTTATATTTGCCTAAATGCTTTAGTGAAAAATCACCCTGAGCGATACTGTAAATTAAGTTGAATTTTAAGATGTATAGCAGCTTACAGGGTTTAAAGCTTTTACCTCTCCGGTCCTAAAATATTGTTATTTTTCCTTCTGCAGAAGCCAAGTACAAAAAACTGGAGAAACGATGAAATTACAACAGTCTTTAAATTGGAGCTGAGCTATGAGTCAGACTGATTTCTCTTAAGTTGCACAACAGTAATCTTGTATGTGGACAAGGATTTGGTTACAGCTAACATTGAGACTGGTAACTTTTTCTGTCTGTTGAATACAGTATGCTGTATTCAGGCTTAAGGCTGAATAATAATCTCCTCTTCTGACTAGGTCCTGCTGCTTCAGTTGTTCTGCAGTGAAAAGTAGAAGCCTGTTCCCAACCCATATGTTGATATTGGCTGTCTGTGTGTTAGTCCTATGTCCATCATGAAGTACTCTGGCTTGGAAAAACCCTCTGTAATCTAGAAAGACATTTTGCCTTAGTAGCAGCAGGACCTAAACTTAATTTTTTCCTTCATTGAGCTCTGCGCTGAGAGGATACCCGGGCCTTTGGAGTTATGAGCATGGCATTGGAAACACTTCATGTTGGTATCCACCTTTATCTGTTTGAAATAGAGAGACTAATTATTACAAATTTGCAATAAAACAACTTGCTGCATTTGTCTCTCTGGAATCTCAAATTCCTGTTGGAAAGATTATGTAAGTCGTCTTTTTGTTTTTTTCAAAGGGTCTGTTAATAAAGACAAACTCCTTCCAGCTACTGGAGATCATAGAAGAGAACGTGTTTTAAACTCTGCATCAAGTATTCCTGCAATTATATTCTTTGACTGTCTGGACCTCAGGTGAAACTGCAGGAAGTCTTGCTTTCAGATGCTTGGTTAACTTAGCAGATCCTTTCTCTACTTTACCAGTGAATTTTGATCCAGTAGTTTTTGAAGAGGGATGCCCAGCATAAAAAGCTGCTTCTCTACCAGATAAACAGTGTTCCAAATTGCTAATTTAGCAGAGCCCTTCTTACTGAACAGGTACTCCTACTCCAAGTTGTTGTTTGTTTTTTTTTCCCCTGTATCTATTGACCCTGACTAGGTGAAGCTGGCTTTTGAGTTGCAGTTGAGGATAGTACAAGTGCTGGTGTAGGAAAGAAGTCGTTCAAACTTCCAGCAGGCTGCTTAGAAGTCTAGTCAGGTGCCAGTGTGGTAAAGATCATAATGCTGTCAGTCAGTGTACAGCCACTGTAAATAGTCAAGATGGACACTTTTGCCCAGTGGTATTTACAAGCAGTGAGGCAGATGACCTTTGAGGCCTTCATCATCACTTTAAAAATCCTGGGTTTAAAATAGAAAATACTAATCTATATAGCTTGATGTAGGCTTTGAGAGAGAGTTGAGTTCAATTTGAAAAGCCTTTTTGTAATTGACATCTTTAAAGAATGGGGTCAAGTCATCCAGGGGTATCCAGCTGTTTGCATCTGTATTGCTTTTATCCATAGTTAGCTCACTGATGAATTTTCTACCTGTGAAGGCAAGTTAGACATTTTAGTATTGTTATCAAAGCAACATCCTCCAACCCAATAGGAAGAGATCCTAACAGATGAGTTATTTCTGTGTTGGAGGAAATTACACCATGTAGAATAGCAGCCTGTTTTAACATCTGACAGATCACCATCTTCTCTGGATTCATAGTGTGTTCGCAGTTCTGGTGGACAAGAGGATCTAGCCAGCCAGATCTAAAATCTTTGTGCCTTGAGACTGGCATTTGAATAACAGTCTGAAAAATAGCCTGCTTGATGATCTCTGATGCTGGGAAGTGGTACCACAATCTGAAAGTCCTGTTTCTCCAGTGTTTCATGCATCTGTGGATTATACAAGAGCTCGATGTGATTCAGCCAGACTCGCCAGTGTTTTTGATAGTACCATCCTGTCTCTTTGTCATTGTGGAGGAGAATCACAGATGTTTGGCTGCTGATGTAAAAGCTTGAGGGTGCTGCTCGGAGCTCCTCTGTTCCCTGGAAGAATGCAGATTTTCATTATAGCATATAGCACTTGCATGTGGCTGGGAGCTTAGTCCCTGATCCCCTGATAAATACCCTCCCTGGCCCCTACCCATATCTAAGACCAGAAAGTTACTGATTCATATTGGATCAAATGGTTCTGGCTAGGTGGATGTCATCTAGAGCTGACCAGCACTGAAATGCTTATCAGGGCAGGTTTTTCTTGGATTGAAGCAACACCACTGATCTTCCAGCTTAGTGATCTCTGTGATTCGCTGGTCTTTCGAGGACGGTGGTGCTAGAGGCACGGAGTGGATGCTGGCACACAAAGGGATTGTTTTCCCCTGCAGGGCTACAGCTGGCCCTGCACTCTGGCTAGGTGCAGAGGCCAAGATGAAGGGGTGACAGAGTTGTATCCCAAGAATTATGAAGGAGAGCTGACCACTTGCTGTCTAGAGAGTTGTGATCATCTGCATCTGATAAGAATAATATCAAGCCGAAGTGCCAGTGACTTGTCCCGTCACGTGGCAGCAAGCCAATTAAGTTCTGCTGATGGCAGATAGCCTGCAAATCAAGCGTTGAACATAGAAAGGAACATGGCCCAGACATGCTCCATGCTCTAATGGCAGCATGATGTCAGTGTAGTTACAGGTCCACGCCCTTATTGGATGTGGACCATGTGCTCAGATCCTCAATGGAAACAGACCACAGATCCAAGCTGGGTGCAGAGTGTTTGGGCAGAAAGGGTTGCATTCAACGATAGGCTAGTGTTAGCTAAGTAAGAACACATTTTCAGGGGCGCAAGGGCTAGAGTTTTTTCTCTGCTCAGCAGAGAACTGGAAATTAAGTAGATTGTGACTGTACAAGATACCACTCTGGAGTACACACATACTAGCTGTAAGCCTTAATCAGCACTTCTCAGGTCTCTGAAGACATGTCTGAAAGCAGAGCATGCTGTCAGTCATGACTAAAATTGGAATGCTGCCCTCTAAGACGGCATCCATGTAGCTGTTGTTAACTGGTATTGCTCCTCAACCCTGAAGGCCAAGGGGATTGAATGACAGTGGATAGGTAAGTATGGTCACATGAAAGTAAAAGCATTGTACCTTGTTCCCTCTGTGCTTGCCTCACTTGGAGAGTGCTCAGTCTGCATGGAGCATCCTGGCCTGTCCCGTCCCACCTCTTCATAGTCAGAGGCTCGGTGTCTGGCTTGTATGTTTACAGCAAGACAAGGAGCAGGCTCAAGAATTGGTTTAAATATGCTCCAGTGACACTCAGATCTAGTTTTGTAGAACTGCTGGCTTAGCCATGTCTTGTTTTAATCACAGGTGCATTTGATAGTTGCTTTGATGAAGAGATCCACTCAGCACATGCAACCCAGCATGCTGTTGGAAGGTCTAGGAATCTGTGTGATTGGGGCATAGAAAATTTCAAAGAAAAATGATACGGTATTTCTCTGCTTATTGTCTTTCCTTGACAGGATTACAGGAGGGCCACGAGAGGGCGACGTGTCAGAGAAAACTTCCACAAGATAAAGCAGTAATGGCAAAGTAGGGACCAAGTCTTGTTCCTGTTGAAAAGATGCTTTCCTACACATTGAAAATGCAATCCTATTTTAATACTACAAAAATGAAAATCTCCAGGAACTCTGAGGATGGAAGTCCATCTAGCCATGCATTGCCAGCAAGCAGTTGGTGTTTTCAGGTAAGAAAGCTAAGAAATAGCAAATTCCTTCACAAACTCGAGTATCCCACCTCCAGGAAGCAGAAATGGGAAGAAGAGCTTGTCTCACAAGTAACTCTTTACTGGGAGGAGATTTTAAAGACTGACTACCTGGCTGGCTGGATGATGGAGTTACAGTGGCATCCCAGTTAGGCCAAGAGCTGGCAGCTGTTTTCTTGGTTTTGTCTCTGAGTAACCATTCCCTTCTCCATCTAAGGGCCCTCTGTGTGACTGGTACAATCCAAACCATGGCAAGGATGGCAGGTGCTTGGGTAGTAGCACCACAGAAGAGACATAGCTAGGTGTGCATGAACAGCATTGTAGTGGAAAAATGTATAGTCCGAAAGTAGAGGCACAGCTTGGTTGCTGCTCAAACCTTTCACCTGCAGAGTCCATGAGGAGTTCTAGAAGAGGTACAAGGGGAGACTAAATCTCTGTCTCTTCTGCAGCATTTCCTGATGGAAAGCTAAGCAGGTGCTTGAAGGGAGAACACAGAAGAGAACAGAGGAAAAGGAGGGCTGACAGATGAAGTCAAGGGGCAAAGTATCTGATCAAAGCGGTCCATGCAACTGCTTTGGAGATGAAGCACTTCTTGAGGACTTGGACTGCAGCTGCAAACCAGG